CGGAGCCTCCAGCAACTACGAGTGTTGTGGGGGCCCCTAATTCGGCGCTGCATGAGAAGTAAGTTTTCTGTATTTTCCAGGGTACGTAGCCATGTCTTTGACAATTCCGTTACTAATTTAACCTACAAAAGTAGGGACGGACTTCTGAATTGTACACAATATTAGCAGACAATTAGAAAATTTCAGTATATATATGTGGGATGGCATCGTTCATTATAATCAGATGACGCGACAAGCTGTGAAAATAAATGTTTTACTTTTCCGATGATAGAAGGCAGACGATCCGCCATTAAGACGATGACGCGATTCAAAGATGTTTGCTTATAAAATACGATTCCTTCTCTTCATTTGTAAATAATCTCATCTATTTCCTTCTACTTATGTAATTACTTTGTAGTTTGTTGCAACTATTCATGTTTCATTAAATATTCAAGTTATTTGTAAATCGAACTAGTTTATTAGCCCCTAGACAGCCACACCTAAGAAGTAAGTTTACAAACATCATATTCCTAGACAGTAAATACCGATTCTACATATATATATATTTTTACATTTAGTGTTAAATCGTTTAACCTTGCGAATCTTACGAGATGGTGGAATATTTTTTTGTGATAAGATAATTTTATCGTTACTGTGATACGTTTAAAAATTTTCGAGATTGCTTAGCTATAACATTTTTTTGTGATCGTAAGATAAATTTATCGTTCCTATGATAAGTTTAAAATTTTCGAGATTGCATTAGCTATAATTTTTTACCTGATTATAAATTTCTTAATGATTAATAAAACGGCTAATCTTTGGAATATGGTAACAGGTAGTTCGGCGACATTTTGGTAAGGCGATGAAAGTTACTAGCTAGGACTTTAGTAGTGTACATGGATGAAGTCAAGAGTGTGCGCAATGCCATTGTGCAATTCTGGGATTGTTTTTAAGTGAAAATAGGTCGACGTGTACATGGATGATACCGTGTATGTGGAATTCTTAAAAACGCAGCAAGTTCTTTGCGATTCTGCACTTTTCCCAATTTCGCACCTAATCTTGGTTAATCTTTGGATTATGGTAACTTGGCGATATTTTGGCGAAATTTGGCAACTAACCCTGCTACAGCAACCTGCTAGTTTTGTTTTGGACGCCATTTTTTGTTCACGAAGTAAAGGCATGTGTATTGGAAAAAATGTTGAGTAAAAAAATCTGCTAGCCGAATTACGCTTATACTAGAACTTTTATGCAACAAAAATGCGTAATCATGACGAAGATTAGGGCTAATCTTTGGAATATGGTAACAGGTAGTTCGGCGACATTTTGGTAAGGCGATGAAAGTTACTAGCAAGGACTTTAGTAGTGTACATGGATGAAGTCAAGAGTGTGCGCAATGCCATTGTGCAATTCTGGGATTTTTTTTTAAGTGAAAATAGGTCGACGTGTACATGGATGATACCGTGTATGTGGAATTCTTAAAAACGCGGCAAGCAGTTTGCGATTCTGCACTTTCTCCCAATTTCGCACCTAATCTTCGTCATGATTACTCATTTTTGTTCCTATAAAAGTTCTAGTATAAGCGTAATTCGGTTAGCAGATTTTTTTTTACTCAACATTTTTTCCAACAAACATGCCTTTACTTCGTGAACAAAAAATGGCGTCCAAAACAAAACTAGCAAGTTGCTGTAGCAGGGTTGGTTGCCAAATTTCGCCAAAAAATCGCCAAGTTACCATAATCCAAAGATTAACCAATAAAACTTTAATATGTAGGTTAATGTGATCATCAGTTATTGAAATAGTTTGGTTAATTAAAACGGCAAAACTCACCAGGATTAACCGAAAGCAGGCATGCCTCCATGGACAGCTTTTTAAAACAACCACATAAAAATTTATGCAACTAGCTTCTTCGAAGCAACAAGAGCACAGATCGAACTATCAGTGTTCAGCAATTTTAAGTATTGAAATATTCTATCTGCGGGAAACTCATCTGCTGCGCAGATAACAGTGCGGTTTATGGTACAAGGGTATTGAAAAGCCAATGGTGGCCTTACTATGAAAGGTTATTCTTTTACCCTCCATCATTATAGCACAGATAAAACACAGAGTTTCTTTTTTTTTTAAAGTCCTTCACGAAGCACCCCTCACTTACATAGGGCTTTCTGGTACACAATTTTAATCACACTACTATACAAGAAAAATTTAAAGAAACTTACATGTGCTTTGGGAGCGAGTATCGAATTACCAATATTAAGACACGTGTTGCTAAATTTTTATTTTTAACTCTAAAAAAATAAAGTATAACGCATCACAGTATGCTACATACTACATCTGATGAATTTCGTAAATCTGAATTTTCCGGCAGAGCAAACTGAGAGTTAAAGCATGTGTTTAGATAAAAAAATGGTACTATTCGGTTTCGAAAGCCGTAAAAAATCGCCAAACTATTGTTGATGCCAATGCTGCCAAAAATAATTGCGGCAAGAAAGGAAATATAGTAAATATCTATTTAAGATTGATGTTTTAATTTAGATGAAAGGTTAATTTCATATAATACTTCTTTATTATTATAATTTATATGAAAAAGGCTAAACATGACTGAATGGAAGCATAAGAGTAAATAACTATTTCAGATCATTATTATAATTTATATAAAAATTTTTAAACATAATTGAATGGATGCCTGCATTGCTATTTCGCTGCCGACTTATCTCTAAAGCATAATTTCATCTCGTTGGTTGTTCAAACGTAATTTTCTATAATAAATGACGCCTTTTCTTTGAAAATATTCTCGGTAAAGTGCAGAATCGCTCACTTGTTTGTTCGCCGCTTTTTTACAAGGGTAAAAACAATTGGATTTTTGTCAATTTTCTTTTACTTTTTAAGTGAAAATAGGTCGATGTGCACACGGATACCGAGCATGTGCAATTCTTAAAAACTCGTCAAACAGTGGGTGATTCTGCACTGTACGCAAAATTCTATTGCGGACTTTTCGTCATGGGCAGTTCCCAAATTGTTAAATCCATAGGATATCAAAAAAGGATTTAAAATCAAAAAAGGATTTAAAAATTAAACTAGTATTTCAATGGCGTCTTAAGAAATATAGAACTATATAAACTTACGCAATCTGAAATCAGCGCGTACGCTAGATTTGGCGCGCCGTTAAATGGGCGCGTTTGCTAGATTTGGCGCTTTTGCGCGTACATTTTCGCTGCAATTTTTTTACGGCCTTCGAAACCGAATAGTACCTAAAAGATTACAAGTTTCGAAGAAATAAGCAAATATTATAAAATTTTATACTATGTGTGTGGGTTACGGTTTGGCTACGTTATCTGAATACATAGCACTCAAGGCTATCTGTCAAAAGAAGGGTTACCTTCGTGGATGAATTTCTAAAGAAAACTAGCTCGTATTCATCTTAACACGGAAGAAAAATCACAGAAACTAATTATGCAGCCAACCCTTTCGCCCCAAATCGAACCCAGATCAAATTCTCAACATTCATCGATCTTAACACCTCAGCCAGTGAGCGTTAAAGGCGCATATACATGAAAAATTGTTAAACATGGTTCCGAAATTCTTAAATGCTGCTGTTGGCCCTGATCGCATCAATATGCAAGTCTAAAAATTCGAAATTTTATCATAAACCTCAGAAATACATTTCTTGGAGATCTCATGTAGCTCGCAAAAGTCGAGGAAGTATTCAAATGGTGGGGATACGAAATTAAACTACTGGAGAAATCAGTCTTCGAAATCAGGGTCTGTAAATTAAAAGAATGCTGAACAGTATGCATATTGTTATGTTTCTTGAAACTCTGCAAGGCGAGTCTACAAATTGATGATTGGCACGACAGCTCGCAGTGAAGTGGTCTTTCTTCCAGGTGGCTTTTAGTTTCCAGTTTTGAACGAGTATGAGTTTAAGTCTGTTTCTGCGATCTCTAGCCATTTCACAACTTAGATCTTCCACTCTTCTCTTATCTCATCATCTGGATTTTGTTCACTTTTGTTCACTCGCATTAAAAAAAAAATTTGATTTTCCTATATTCATTCATGTTAGGTATCCACAGCAAATCTTATTCTGTTCATCTGATCGTACAGTTCTTATAAATTTCCGTAGAGTTCATATCTAAAACTTCCTCCAGATATCTTGCCTTAATTAGTCTCGAAAAATGCACAAGTTGGAAAAGATTTTTAATCCCGAAACCATAAAGAAATCGTAAGCTCTGCTAGCTATCACCTTAAAATACGAAAGCTAAAATCATGAGATCAACTTACGCTAAAGAATATACCAAGGAAGATTTAAAATTTTCGATGACTGGTTAAAGAAGACCAGAAACTAGAAATTAAACTAAAACTAATTACTTACAGTAAAACGCAGAAACCCAATAAAATTAAGATCATTGGCAGCTTTCGTGCCATAAAAATGATTTTTTGATGGTAATGAAATTCCATTATAATATTTTTGTACCATACGGTTGCATTTTTAATAATAATTTGCATCAGCTAGCTGTGGACAATTTTAAAACGTGAAGGCAACTGGATCTTTTGGTCAAGTAATTATACTTAACCAACTGTTAGCATTAAAAGGTTGCTTTTACACCACGTTTTACATATAAAATACTTTCATCTGGACATGAACCTGATATCTTACTGAATATACAAATGCTGAAATGGAGAATTGTATCAAGAAATTCAACGTAACAAAACATTGAAGATCGTTTGAAAAATTCACCGGAAAATATTGAAAATCCTGTTTTTTCCGTGTCTAAAAGATAGTAACCGATTATAGAATCAATATTAGTCAAAAGTTTACGCAATTTGCGTTTAGACTTTATATAATATGCCCCTTAAATATCTTGGTGGTTTTTCGAAGGCGGCTAAGTAACTTTTGTTGAATAATTTTTCTTAAGGAAAGCATTTATTTGACCTATAAATTAAAATCTTACATTATTTCTTCACTACTGATTTTCTTAGATGACGCAAGCGAATTTCATTTAGTATACTCAAATAACTGATGCACAAGATTTACCAAATAAAGTACTTTATTGATGTTATTAAAAATATCATCTTAGAAAGATATTTTAAAGAGGGAGAAACTTAAACGCAAACAAATTTTTAGAATTAAAGTCTTAATTCATACAGAGCTCTATTATGACACATATCATTATTACGATCCAAGTCATTAAGTGTACCACAATTTTTTGAAATGTCACTCGAAAAGCAGTTACATGAAGCTCTGGATACAGAAACAAGTAGAAAAGAAAATGAGATACTGCGAAAAGAAATAAGATCGTTGAGAAACTGTGTTTATCCAACAGATAATCACGTAATGCCTTAAAGGAAGGTTGTTTTGAAGACAGGCTGTTACATTTAGTTTTAGCGACAGGTATAGGGGCTTTGGTCTCAGCAGATGTCTTAGCGCTGTTGATCGGATCTATCCACAGAACATCTTTGATCGACCTTTGCAAGTTATCCATCTTTTGGAGCTTCTGCGTTAATTCTTCTTTGATTAATTTTCATGGGCATCCACAACATGATTCATTAACACTTCTGTAAGCTCCGCTCCACTAAGCAAGGCACTTTCAATTTTTTCGCATTCATCTTCTCCTATACCAGCCAAAAGCGAGCCAAAAATAGGTGTCCAACGTTTTAACTTTTCAGCTGCCATTGTAGAACACTTTTCCACCTCTGTTATAGTATTAAGATGTGAAGAAGTAATGTCCATCTTTATATTCACAAAATTTAGCCAGTAAAATACAGTTGCTACAGTTCAGAGCTTCGGAAGGCTTCATTTCAGAAACGCCGAGTTCAGATGGAACTGGTACCATCATTAAGACTCGAAATTTTCCGATTGCAAACCTGGCAACTCTCTTCCATTTCTTGGCTGGACGAACTATCTTCACTGTTCTCAGGCTACTTCCCGTGATTAACCTGCCAAAAGCATATGAAATGAGTTAAATTTCAGATTTTCCTACGAGTAAACATACTAAAATTTTCAAGTGAAAGGTATTCGTGGTTGATTACGATCTTGGAAGTCTAATAAAATTTAATAATCTGATGTAAAATCATGGTGCGAATCCATGAATTTATTCAGGAAAGAAAACAAAGTAAATGCTTTTTATAAAATTCTGAGAATGTGTCACTAAATACCGTTCTTGCATTAAATTATTTAAACACGGCAAAGCACACTAGGTTTATTTGCCTAGCAGTGGAAGTAGGCCCTTAAGGGAAACTGGCTGCATTTGTGAAACACGCGGAGAAAACTATTAAACAATCCCCCTATTTGTCAGAATTTGAAACATGGCGAATTACCAGACCATGGGATATTGATCGAAGTTCCCAGTTAATCTGATGCGAAGCTGTTGAACAGCTATTATATGAGCAACACAACAATCATGTCCACAGCTTCTCGACCAACAAGAGATTTGGGGGATCATCCTAGCCGAAAAATCGCATAGAAGCTTCGCAAAGAATACTTACTCAAGTTGTGAGCGGCTATATATTATTAGTACAGTCAAAAGTCTAATAATCCGGACGTCCATAATCCGGAATGATCTATAATTCGGACCTCAAAGCTACAAACTTTCTGCACATGCGTAAACGCATGCCCATACGTTTACACATGCGCGTTTAATGTATAACGGACGGTATAAGCTAAGCTAAAATTATCTAATTATCTATTTCAGTTAATGTTGCAGATTGCGCTGTTCCTTAATCTTCTAATTGGATCCGGCTTATTTTTTGCAGACTGTTAGAGCAATTTTATAAAAGTAAGCTTGAACTTTCGATTATGTCAAAAAGAATTTCCGATTCTGGAGCTGCCAAAGGATCTACAAAACGAAAGCATGTTTCGATTTCGATCAAACAAAAAGTGGAATTTTTGCAAAAAATGGATAAAGGCATATCCTTTGTTTCTCTAACCATTCCGAAATCTGTTTATTAATTTCACGCTGCTCTGCCGGGGGGGACATCGCGGCGTGCAACGAACTGGAAGTTGATATGTCAGCACTATCCTTATCTTCAGGGCAGATGTTTTTATTTTATTCGGCTTATAATTCCTTACTAAATGTAGTATTTCATCTCGATGTACTCCGTCTTTGATAAGATTTAAATCAAATTCCTCGTCATTATAAATATCACGAATACACATCAAATAGTCTTCTGGTTGCAATTTTCTAATTTGGACTATGCGTAATGTATGCTTTACGCATGCGTGCGTTGAAAGAAATGTTTAATAAAGTAAACAAATAAATATTAAGTTTTTTTTTGGTAAATTTCGATACCCTTTAGATCATAATTGCTCTTTATTTCATAAATTACCGTTTCATATTTTTAATTTTATAATTTCTGCATGTCATCTTACCAGATTAAAACTGATGATCTATAATCCCAAAAAACCGATAATCCGGAATCGCCGAAGTCCCGACGAGTCCGGATTAAAGACTTGACTGTATTTACGCATACTAGAATTGATCAACTCTTGCTAGTAGTAGCGCTGCAAAACTGAACCCATATTGACATATAACAAGCTGTATGATCCTTAATAAGGGCCAGTAGGACCAAAGCATTGCCAGGCGCTACCAAGTTTATTCGGCGACAGTCATTTCCACAGACAAAACACGAATACTGAAATAAGGTTCTTTGGCTCGGGCAAATCAAGCAAGTACTACCACATTAAACATTCACAAAGGTGGCTTGTTAGCGATAATCACGGCTCAACAAGGCCAAAATCAAAATTCAGAAACATTTTTATTACTATGGGGACTGCGTAGCTAAATATAATATTTAAAATAATTAAAATTTTATTTATTTCGACTACTACTTACAATAAGAAAGATATGTTTTTATAACCTGCTCAGTCAAAATGTAAAATAAAGCAGCTTAGAGAACAAAGAATCATTTGTCAGTCTGTTTGCGTGATAGTCCAAGCATTTCTAGCGTCACTTAATTGTAAAATTTAAAGCTGACTGATCCTTTTGCGCGCCATCTACTCCACACTTTCAACAACTTGACTTACAAACTTGCAAATCGGAGCTCAAGTTATAACTCGGTAGTATCGGTATTAAAAATGAGATATCAGCAAGAGCGCATTGGGTTACCAGCTAACAATGTACTATGTCAACTGATAACCAATGCGTACCAATTTCAAATGAAGCGTTGAAGCTCCTGATGGCTTTTCCTCCAATTAAAGTGAAAAATCAGTTTCAACCTATACGACAGCAAAAGCCAAATTCAGAACTACTGAAAATTGAAAGCTAAATGCTTTTGTGTAAAACACCAGTTTTACACAGAAATACAGACGAGCACAGCAGTCGAAAGCGAATAAATAGTATTCGACAGGATTCATATCCTAACAAAAGGAGCTGTTACATAGGGGTTTTCCAAGGTCCGTAGAAAGAACAGGTTAGCTCACTTGGGGTAAACAAACGAAAATGCGTTCTCGCTGTCTATTGGCTGTGACGTCACTGAAGTTTTCTCTCCTCAGATCAACATAGATTTTTGCATTGATTTAAGCTGAATATAAGCTTGTGGGCTACTGTAGAAACTCATTCTTTTTTTTTTTTTCCTCTCTCAAATATAATTAAATTTATGTAGTATAATGGTTGGTACGCACTGCGCGATTGCATAATGCACCAATAATGCAGGCAAAATAAAAAATAATCAGCAAAATGTACTATTTCATAGGTATAGAAACTTGTAGTGTTTTTTGATTTGATGCAAGTTATTTTGAATTTTCGGGTTACTTAAATTAATTTATTCATTAATAAATATAGAAACTTCTATGCATTTTATTAGGTGTATTTAAATGCCAACAGTTGGGAATATTGTTGTGAATTGTGACAGATGCATATAAATATGATTAAAGTTTTAAATTATGTGTATGTAGCTCACTGCATTAATTAACTCGTTTTACACATGGAAAATGGCCATGCAACCAGCCTTTTTTCCAGGAATTGAAGTCAAACCACCAGTGTTCAGCTGATGGGCCTTGTCAATTACTTAGAATTTGAGCCTATTGTACTGTAAATATGGTACATGCCAGAAATACAATATCAATACACGGGGTACATGTAAGTACCGGAAAGTACCTGAAAAGTACCGGAGCCGGCACAATTTAAGCTCTGACTACATTACATATTTTCCAGTTCTTGTGAAATGTAGGTTTTCAGTCTGTTGAAGCTAAAATGAGTAACGGTATAAACAGCTGAATCTTGAATAGCAAATTCTGTAAGGAAGTTTGGAAGATTTTTGGTGAAACAATAAATTACTGAATTAAATTGAATTAAATTACACTGAATTGAGGGAACTTTTCGTAATTAAAACTTATTCTATACAGTAAACAATATTTTAGGTAGTTAAGTTTCAACTCCAAATATTAGAATTTTTACTTTTCCGATGAAAAACAGAAAATATTTCAAAAGGAAATACGAAATTAGGAGATGCTACAGCGAACTTCAGTGACGTAACAGCCGAACGAGTCGCTGGCTTTTCGTTTGTTTACTCCAAGTGAGCTAACCTGTTCTTTCTACGAACCTTGGGGGTTTTCAGTTTTCTCTTTGCGTAACATTAAGAATCAGTTTCCCTTACGAAATCCTCTCCAAAGGCATCCTCTGAGGTAGCTCTAGTGAGTTTTGCATAATCTAATGACTCCAAAAAGCCCAGAGTGGTGCTTGTACTAAAAAATGCAACCACATCTGAGCCATCAAACTTCCACGATACAATACGAATCAACGAATTCATAGCTAAATTACGATATTCTTGCTCAGTACAAAATTATAATGAAACAGCTTTTCATTTCCATACGAAGTTCTCAACAAACATTTTTAATACTTCAACATTGACTTCTCTGCAACTGAATATTTTAGTTTTATTGGTTCCTCGAATTGATAAAAATATGAGGCTACTTCACTATGGCAAACCACACGAGGGCTATCTAGTGCCTAAGGGAAGGGATGTCTTCGTAGAAGATTTTCTAAGGGAAACAGCTCGTATTCATGTCATGTCCTTATCACATATAGCAACGTTTTAAGAAATTGTTCTGAGAAAGGCATTTCTTGAAACACTGGTTTAAAAGAGAGGTCTCTAGCTAAAACAGCTCTGCTTAATTTGGTTTGGTTTATTTGATTATGGCAAAGCACTCGAGGGCTATCTGACTAAAGGGAGAGAGGACTTTCTAAATGAATACAGCCTCGTTAAAAGGTTACATATTAGTTTTGCTTAAATCTGTTGCACGTACAAACCCGCAATATTTAACAAGGACGGAGAAAATGTTTCACTTGCAGTTTTTCCCTCTTAAGATAATAAATCAGATTAACTGGAAGTGAAGGTTCCTAGAAATGTTTTTTTGGGCACACTAATGAGCGTAACTAGCAGTAACTAGGTGTTTTACTCACTGAGAAAACTACAAAAAATCAACCATGCAGCCACCTCGTTTGTTTGGATTCGAGCCTGGATCGAACTACCAGTATTCAGTAGTCGTAACACTCGGCTACTAGCGAGGCTGGATAAAATTTGAAAATTTCTGTTTTAATTATAGCATTCCTGAATTTTGGAAATTAAGATTTCTGTTCATGAGTACCGAAGGCGAATTACAATATTCTTTAAATGAAAATATGTAGTAGTTGAACAGCAATGAAAACCCAAACATATCTCCCAATATAGTAGTCAACGGTAGAGATTTTCATCTTGCTCCAAGACAGTACGGTATCCAAAGCTCACAAGCAGCCGTGCAGTGAAGTTGGTGTTGGTGTATTTAATTATGGCAAAGCACATTGAAAGTGAGTTATCTGCCTAAGAGGAGGGATGCCTTCGTGGAGGACTTTCTAAGGGAAACTGGCTCGTATACACGTTACAGATGGGTAAAACCATGAACGCCCATGCAGCCAACCCGTTCGCGGGATTCGAACGTCGGACCGAATTACCAGTGTTCA